GGAATCTGCATTTTTGGCTGTCAGAATCCTTCTCTTCTGGAGTCCTCTGATTTGCCTAACTATGATTGCTCTACCTGCTTTCCCTAAAGATACATTATGCCATCCCCATCCCTAAGCTCATCTCTGGTGATTTTGGTATGAGTTTGTCACCACAGCTTCACAAAATCTTGCTTGACTCTGAGTATTTAAATCTCTAGGATTGTTTTTTTTCCCCCCATGAAATAGAACAACCAAAGCAAATTTAAAGGCCTCGTTCAGCAATGCTGCCTCCAAAAGTCTCAAGCATAGATTGACCTGCCATGTTAAGGAGATACTCTCATCACCAGTTTCATTTAGAGTCACTTACTAATCTCTTTAATAATGAAGGGTGAAAGAAAAAAAAAAAGAGAAAAAGCTGTGAGGAGTGTTGCACTAACACACAACATTCCAGTTACTCTTGCAGACTTGCTGACAAACCCAGCATATGTGCCAATAGTCTTGCACAAATACCAGTGTCCTTCTAGCATCACAGGCAGCTGGCAGCACCAGCCAGTACTTCTCAGGATGCATTTTGAACAAGGAAAAGGATTTTTCACTTACCCTAGGAAATCCCTTGATGGACCAACTCCACCAGGACTGGATTCCTCTTGGAACCCTCTCTGCTTCTTACACTGTACCATGACAAGCTGTGGGACCACGAGCTGAAGAGAGCTTTCCTCATCAGGACAGCAAAGATTACTGGGCACATTTTTGATGCTGGCATTTGAGACAAAATTGGCCAGTTGCTGGCAGAGATAAAGGTCTCAGCCTAAGAGCCATATAAAACTCTTTGACTTCTGCAACCATGAGGCTTCGTGTCAGTGACAGACACCCCTAGATCCACAGTCAGGAGGCATTTATGAGTGTGTCTGCACCTTCCTTTCCCTCCAGGCTACATTTCAGCTGTTGGGGCTGGTTCTGGAGCATCACAGGACTTACCAAATGGATTTCACACTACAGTACTAGGGAAGAAAATGTAAAGCAGCAGGTAATTTACCTTTAATACAGAGATAATATTTTTCTTATTTTCTTTTTTAAAAAAAACATCCTAGCCCTACAGTGATGTAAAGTAGCCTTAAGACTGCCCAGAATGCCACATCTCCTGACTATCTCAATTTGTAGATTCCAGTAGCATCCAGACTGGGGGTGAAACTTGTTTATGGGTTTTCAGGCCTTCTGCAGTCCCACTTATTTCCAGCATTGTCCTTCCCTGCAGATAGCCTCAACACTTGCACAAACTCCCTTACACTTTCTCTTTTCGCACCAGCTTCCTCACTACTGTTTACATTTTCCTCTGCCTGTGCCAGCAGCTTGCAGGCCAATTCCCAGAGGCTCTGCAAAGAAAACCAGGATATAGTTCAGTACACTTACTGCATAGCTGGCACACATAACTATTGCTGAATTGAAAGTTGTTCAGAGGGAATTAAGTGGCTCCAGCTGGTTGGTGCTAAAAAAATTACACTTAAGATGGTAAATACTGGATGATGATGGGAGATCACTTCCAACTCTACTGTGCTTGAGCAATTGCAGAAGAAACCTGCAGTTGCAAAGAGAAGTGGAAAGTGTCACACCAGTAACAGCTCTGAAACAGATTGGGAAGGGAGGAGAAGGTGGTCCCCATCACTGAATAACAATGATGGCAAAATTAGGTATTTTCAACAGAAAAAAAGTGTCAGCTTGCAACTCACAGCTGCAACAGGCAGAGCAGCAATACAGCTCAGCTGCAGTAGTTGCTCCACATCTTCACCACTGAACAGTTTATCAAGATAGGACAGCAGATAAAGAATACTCAGCAAGACAGATTCAGGACACCAAGCTCTATAAAATAAATGCTAGACAATCCATTTCTATAATGACAGTTCAAGTGGAATCCATTTAAAAAATGGAGGTAATGTTCAAAGCTCCTTACTTTCAGCATCACTGGGACAATCAACTACCCAAAGAACCTCCTGTGCAATGAATGGAGGTGCTGATTACCAGGCAACACACAGACACCATCTGTGACTATAAGGTGTGGCTGAGCTTTCCTGACATATAGAACTGCTCCTCCTCTTCATACCCTGGGATAAAAATGGGCTGACTTGAAGATAGGCTCTTCTGAATGTGTAAATACACATTGTGTCAGTTGACTTAACACACTACTTCTCTCTTCACTAAGACTCTCCTAGATAGCATGTAGCTGAGCATTAAATAATCCTCATACCCAAAAATGACCCTGTAAGACAAATGATTTAAGTGATCTTTATCCTATTCTTCAAGACCTTTGTAAACCAAAATCACCAACTTTCACCTGCTCTCTATCAATCTCCACCCAGCAATAGCCAAGAGTCAAGAAAATGCACAGCCCCAAAAAGAATTACGAGTATTTGGTCGAAAGTCAGTTTGGAAATTTTTTTTTCTTGCTCTCCATCAGCCCAGTCTTGTTTACCTACTGAAAATAGAGGGAGACTTTTCTCCTGATTTTGCAAGCTTCATATGATTAGATGTAAGAGATGCAGCCAAGTAATATTTAGCACTGGAACTGAGCCCAATTAAACCTAATCAGAAGAGCCCATGCAAAGTGCTGACAATCACCAGTTTGATCAACAACAGACCATCTTCCTACTTTTGTAATACACGACTTAAAAAAGTAGATCCTGTCCATCTCTTGACTCTGATGGACAGATTTGGCAACACTGTTCACTTAAATCCCGAATGTTTGCACGTGTTGTCTAAACACTGCCCCAATAACAGCAGACCACTTTAGAATCTAGTGATAATTTTATTTAAAAAAACCCCTTTATAACTCATTAAGGCTAGTGCCAGACTTGACACTGAGACCACCGGTTTGCCAAACAACAACAGCAGAGAAGTACAGCTTCAGGATGCCAAGTCAAGAACATTTAAACAGCTATGCTCAGTATTCTGCTGTAAAATAAATTGAGCAAAACTGTCCTTCACATACAGAAAGCTCAACTGATCTGTCATGATAGGTGTGCTTTATTACCAGTATTGAAAATAAGTCATGAACATAAAAGCAGCAAGAGAAAGTCAGACTAACTGCAATTATTTTCCCCCAGTCTTTCCCTCTCCCTCTCTTCCAAGCTCTCTGTGGATACAGAGACCAAAGTGTATTCTGTGCCAGAATGTGAATCACATCATACATTTAAAAGTAATTTTATGTACAGCAGTACCATTCATGAATGTTACACAGTCCCTGCAATTACATTCTTTGTAAGGTCAGTCTTCATTCACTGTTCTCTACTGAATCTTCTGATGGAAGGAACAGAAAGGAGAGGTGGAATCAAGGAGTAAGGAATGATCACAAATTTTGGGAATTTGAGCAATAAACCTCAGAGAATCTTCTTTGAAGTTCCAGAAATAAATGGTGGCAACATGTATATATTGCAATTTTATTTAATTCGCTCAAACAAAACGTTAGCATGTAAGAAATTTAAAATGACACAATATGATAAAAATAGCAGAGAATGAACTGAGAAACTAAAAAGAAAGTAAACCTAAATGCATGAAAAGTCAACATTCATTAGTGATCAGCTTCAGTCTTTGATTGACACTTGATGTTTGATAACTTTAAAACAATGAACTGGAAATTATTATGACTATCTGAAGAGATTTCAGCACCAGCACTAAGATTTTTACATTCAGTTGGTTTGCAGTTGACTTCGTAGCCACTTGTCTGTAGTGCAGGTTTATCACAGGTCAGATCACAGTGTTGAGGAAAGCAACGCCCTCCTGGAATTAGAAAGGATCCCTTAAACTGCCCTCAGCTTAAGACATCCGTTGTACAAAAGCACAGAACCACCACAATATGTTTTTTAAAGAACTTGGTTACCAGTAAGCAAAATAATCTTAGCTTCTGCAGTTCATTTTCAATACTGAAATCTCTGGAAATGGTGCAACTGTCAGTAGGTCAGGAAATGTCTACAGTAATCTTTAATTCAATCCAATTTTCTGGAAAGAACCAATTCTGCAGTTTGGGATTACACAAAGTATGTGTGTAGAAGCAGCACAAAAGACAACATCTTTTAAACAGAAATCATGCTAATTGTAGACCAAGGCACAAAACGTTTAGTGCATAAGCATTGTTCCTTGCACAATCTAGTAGTTCAGCCTTTAGTTTTGGACCACTTGTACCCATTCACACTATTCCGACCATGCTACTCCTGAACTCTCCTAAAAACAAATCAAACGTGATTTCTGACAAGGGTAAACATCCTCAATGCTCAAAAAGTCTGTGTAGAACAAAAAGTTACATCAACAAAGATGAAAATGCCTCCTCTTGTTTTGAGAAAAACAGTACTTGACAAGCTTACCATGGATTTTTTTTAATGCCTTCAATAAATGCATGCAGAAAAATGTTGTTGTTTCCTTTTTTTATTTAAAAGAAATATTAATAAATGGGTTTAGGCAATATTTCCACTGTTGTCATCTCTTAGAATTTGAGCCTACAGAAACAGGCAGTGTTTGAACTGGAGAAAATTTCCTAGTGAAGCCTTTCCAAAGCTGTTCAGTGCTGTTTTGCTTAGGTGTTCAGCACTCAAGCCAGTAGGTGACTGAAAGCAATTGCCCTACAAATGGAGCTGTGTATACTTGTAAGCTGAAACACTAATCTCTCCAAAAATTGTAACTTAACTTTTCTTTTAGATCAGCACAGATCCCAAAGCAAACACAGCACCGTTACAGCCTGGAAAAACTGACAGTGCAAAGGAGAAGGAAAAGATTTTTGTCCAAAGCACTACAGATCCAATTCACAGAATTTCTATTCCACTGAACTGTACCACATTAAAACAAACAAAAAATAAAAATAAAAAAAAAGTACAAGCATAAAATCTGAAAACCTTGGGAAACAGAAAGGTATTTCCCCTAAAAATGATTCTCCAATTGTTGAACAGAACCAGTGGTGTAGCATTGCTGTTTTTCAGGGCTTGGGCTGCGTGAAGGTGTGGGTTCTTTTGTTGCTTTTGAGTTTGGCAGAAAGGAGTGTGGCAGATAAATTAGGAGGAGAAGGGGACGTTTACCGTGACCTGATGCTCCATCATTCTAAGGTAACTAACTGCTGTTCTGTTTCGTTAAATGATCAAAAAACAGGTCTCAGAAAAGAATGAAGTCATGGTAAAAAGGTAAAGGACAACACACTTACACAGGGGCATCATCAGTAACTCAGATGCCTATATGTTTTTTCTCTCACCGAGAAATGAGTTAGGTTCACTGTGAGAGTTCCAGAACCATCATGGAAGTATTACTGAATTTCAAATAGAAAACTGAAAAAAGATACAAAAGGATTAAGTACCTGGTTCCATTAACATGGTTACTGATAAAAGTCATGTTTTCCTCTTTATTATACATGCATGTAAGATGAAGAAAAAGTGTAGAAAGTAATAAAAATGTGTCACCTTCCCCCTCCCTCATCCCGCATCTTTCTGGGCATAAATTAAGCCTTACAAATGAAAAGGCTACTCTGTGACATGCAATTTTTCTTTTAATTAAAAAGCTGGCTGTGTTGTGTTACATTACAAAAATGTCCACATGCATAAATCTAAAAAAAAGCCCCAAAATCTACTGTAAATCTACAACATACTAATGATTTACATTTGACTGCTGATTCGCATTATGTAGAAGTCTTAGATTTGGTAAAGCATCGTAACAATGTAGGAAGGCATCTACATCTTTAAACTCTGGACTGTATTTGCTTTTTTTAAATTTTCCTATAAAATTGCATGAAGGCTAACTAGAGAGGCTTCCTATCATAAAATTCCAAAATCCTGATATGCCATCACCGTCTAGGTCATTCACTTACAAATATTGCCCTTTCAAAGCATGCGTGTCTAATTGTTCCATGTTTTGTGAACTGAACTTCTACACATCTGATCTTGTAAATTACTCATGGAAATATCAGATATGATAGGAAGACAAACCTGAGATACATTTGAAGTACAACAGTATAACTTGCTAACTCCTTCATTAATAAAGAAAACCTCTCTGAAAAGCCTTCCCAAGCTTTTCCCTGTGTTTTTTTGTCTCAACAACAAATTCTGAAACATGTGCAATTTTATCTTGACATGAGTAGACTTCAAAGCACTGATCTTGTCTGATAGGTGTAGGAACTTCTGCATAATCATTACAGTAACTTTAAGAGTCTTTTCCACCCTGCTGTAAAGGTCAGAAAAAAAGCTGCAAACTAGGAGGGGAATAGCATATCACCAGAGTGATGTGTCTGAAGCTTTTCAGAATAGGTTGTTTCTCCCTCCTTCCAAGTGTCTGTCTGTCTGTCTCTGTTTTCTTCTAACAGCTCACAAAACGTAATCAGTTTTATATCAAGTTAGAGTCACATCAGCTTAGTACTAGTCTTTCTATGCAGTATTCGACTTGCTGAGTTCCTGCCTGATAGCTAGAGAGAAAGAGAGAGAAAGTTAGCAAATCAAACAGGCAAAGTCGAGGCATAGAGCTGGAACATACAACTGACCCCATAAAGAAGGCACACTCTGCTCCAACAGGCTTACAACATGAATAACCTGTATGTAACAGCCTCGTGTGGCTCCAGACAAGTGTCATTATCAACCAGGCACTACCCTTTCTCCTGCTCTAAAATTTTTCGGTTCACATCTCCAGCAAGCCTACGGCCTTACCTAATGACAATCACTACCACTGGGATTATCAAGGAGCATGTGTGGGCTCATTAATTTTTTGAGGGGTTGTTTTAAGAGAATCTCAGGGCCTGTCCCCTCTTTGCATTGTAAAAGGCTGCAGGACACAGCACAGTCAAAACACAGGGGAAAAGCACTACATTTCCTGTAGCCCCAAACCAGCTAGCTCTTCCTGTGGAAGTGGTATTAGTTTAATATGACTTTCCCCCTCCCATACTTTACTTTGGTTCATTCAACAAAGAAAAAAAAAATGCCCACCAAGGTAGTAAACCATACACCAAGTTTTACTTAATGCCTGATGGTGGACCTTTAAGATTATGCGTCCTCAGTGTCTTCCCTTAACTACAGAAGACTACTTAGGAAAACAACTTCTCTTAAAATAAAAATGAAAATTGTGGGAATTCTTTCCTTTGACTCTTATGTTACAGACCAAAGAGGAGAAGCCTGAAAGCTGGAAGCTAATATTCTAGTCTGAATATTACCAGTTTTGAAATATTCACCTCAGCAGCCCTGGATAATTTAAAAATAACCCACTTACCACCACATGATATTAAAGCTAACTGCGAATCACACTGATCACTGCAATCACATCCCTTCAACCACTTTTAAAAGATACTACTTGGTGTCAATGTTCTATGAAAACCAAACACCCAGGAGAGAAAACACTGAAGCACATTAATCAGAACAGGTCTGGCACAAATGGTTTGCCACTAGATTAAGAACAAAGCTATTTTTACCAATATGTGATCAGGCTAGAAGCACATTGTATTTACATTTAAAAGTGAACAGCAGCAGGGAACAGAGTAATACCTACCATCGATGAGTTCTTCCTTTAATTTTGTTAATTCCTTCCTCATTTCGTCTAAAATGTCCTACAGTGTCAGAACATAAATAATAGATTAGCAAACAGATTAGTTTTGCCACCTCTAATTTTCTGCAGAGAGAAATCCCAAATTCTTCCAATCAACCTTTAACCCTTCTGAAACACATAATCCATTCTTCAGCATCCAAGTTAATTCCCAAACCCTAAGGCATCCCTAAAACATTATTAGTGCAGGTACAGTGCAGAAAAAGCCTTTCTGCTGAAGCTCTATGAATTCATTCCTGTAGAACATATGAGAGGAGAAGGGGCATTGAAGTTAGGACACTGGATCAATATATGCTAAATAAAAAGAAAAGTGAAAAAACCCCAAACTTGACATATCCCTTTAAAATAAGAAAACTTTACCACAGGTGCAGTGTGATGTGGCATGCAAAAACAGGAGATAACTAAGCACCACAAGCCAAAGAAATATTCAAAGAGAAGAAAAAGGGATATCAAGTTATCAAGGTCCCAGTTGCCAAGTGAATGTGAGAGAATTAAGGTGAGAGAGTGAAGTGCCACCCCCCACTTGCTGTTTTCTCTATCCTTTCCCTTAAGTGATGTTAACTGACGATTTGACGATAACATTTACAAGCAGAGTGGTGGGTAGTGTTTCCTTTCTGCAAAAGAGACTGTCATCTCCTGGCCAAATCCATAGTGAGCATGAAACTCATCTGAAAGATTTCAGCGGCTTCTTTCCTAGCTTTGGGGTTAGCATGCTGTCATAACTGAGCATGCAATTACACTAGTGTACTCTAGACTTGAGTCCCTTACGAGCTGCTGTTGGAAGACACATTTTCCCTGCCTGAAGCCACTCCTGGTATATGTAGGCACAGTTCACACTCCTCTAGAAACCACTGCCCCTAACATCACCACCCCCTAAACCCACCTGCTGTATAACTAATCACCACTCTACAGACTCTAGAATTTCGAGCAACCACAAACACATCACTCCCCTTTTTCAAGGACTGTGATCCAACTACAGCAGATCCTTGCCTAGAAGAGGGGCAGATCACACCCACAATACACCATGTGCTTATAGTTTCTGCCAGAAAAGTAACCAGCACCATCTTGACATGTGCCCCACAAAAAAGAGCTTTCACCAGCTCAGCATGGACAAATGTGGCCAAAAAGCAATACCAAGACCTCAAACATGACTTCCCATGCCACACAACTCAGAGTGGCACTGAGAAAGCTCAGTACTACTTTTGTCCAAGCATCACTCAGCAAGTCACAGGCAGGCCAGCTACCCCCATCATACCACTGGCTCTTCAAGACTGCTGCCTACACCAGGGACACCACACTGCTCACCCACAGCAATCAGGCTTCCCTGCTGCACGCTGCCCTTGCAGTTCCCAAAGACCCTAAGGTTTACTAGGTGCACCACAAAGCACAAGAGGGCAAAAATACACAGCGGCATTCTTGCACATGGACAACTCCAAAAGGCTTACACAAGTCTGCTCAGGTCAGCATCACCCTCAGAGAGCAGCTGCTCTCAAAACGGCATCTGCACTGAAAGCACATACGTGGCAGCACAGATGATCACCTTCGGGCCTCCTCAGACACAGGAGACTTCTCAGTAGTCAGGAACACAAATCCCTTACATTCTCTTGCTCCTCCAGGGGCTCCTGTTCTTAGGAATGTGGAACACCTGTACAGTCTACAGATCTGTACCAATGCTCCTAACTGACAGCTCTTCTCTTCAAACAAGTCACAAGGGAACCCTCGCCAAGCCTCTAGTTGCACAGTGTTGTCAGTTTGGCAAGTGTACTTGACAAAGGCCTGTCACCTACAGGTAACTGTCACCAAACAATTCCCAAAGCATCCCACACTGTCTTTTCCTCATCTAACAGCAGGCAGCTGCCACCTTCTTCCTACAATACTCCTCTGCTCTTAGCCTGGATAGCTACACAAAAGGTGATTTCATTGGATGCTTCTTCACCTCCAAACCTGTGACCACGGGTGCTCACATCTGATATTAAAACATGGTGATACTCGTTCTGCTAGAGCTGCTCTGAGTGCTTGTTGCTGGTTTGTTTGGTATAGAGAAGAAAACAAAAGGTTTTGCAGGCAAACTAGTTTCCCAGTTCAATCTATAGTATCAACACCATCTTGTGTGCACTGCCTAATGCAAAAGCAGGAACAAGCAAGCACCTGTGAGAAAATAATGGGGCTAAGACACCATCCCACAGTTGCAGCTCCTAAGAATACTGAAACTTCCCTGGGCAAAAATAAAGACCAGTAATTACTAAATCATTATGTTCAGAACTAGTTAACAATACAGTTAAAACTGGTATCTGACAGCTGCAAGTCTGTATATATCCACATTTTCTATTCAAAGCATTGTATACACACCTGCTTCAATCTGTCATAATCGAGACCTTCTGACTGTACTCCATTGGCACTGGGTTGTCCTGTTGGTGTAGATTTTGGTCTGCAGTACAAAAACACATCCACAAGTTACTGGTCGCTCATAATTACAGGACACAAAAGACTTCGCCATCAAATTTGCTAACATTCATCTATCAAAAACCATCAGAATGGAAAAAAAATATGTTAGGAGCGTGGGAAAAATCAAGCAGACCCAAAATACCACAGAGAATAGAAAGCAACAACCGAGAACATTTTCCACACACTAGAAATATTAATTACCATAAGAATAAGAGTTATTAGTTCAAAACAAGAGCTTTCAAAGTCGCAGACAGATTTCACTGTCAATGGTTTCTGACTTCTTCATAATAGGCATGAAAAGCTGAATGCCTTCATATGTCAAATGCTTTCTCTTTTCAACTGCTTGCTCATTCAAAAGAGGCTCACTCAAGGAAACACTCCCACTAAGTAATGACTACATATTGATGCTGACTGTATGAATAACTGCGGAATCACTCTGGCAGATTTTCAACATTTGACAGGACGTGGCTGAGCAAGCTATCTAACTCCCTTCCAACCTAAATTATTACATCAATTGCTTTCTAAAGCTACTGAAAGCAAATACTCTTAACAGCAGCAGGATTCATAAGACAACATTTGAAAGGAAAGTAATGTTTGGTGTTTGCTTACATAATACTCTGCTAAGACATCAAAAACTTGCTTCCCCAGATTGTCCTGCACTTTTAACACAGATTCCAAAAGAAGATTTTCTGCCTTCTCACTTTGCTTTCCCAACCCTCTCTTTTATACAAGGTGTAATCCAGACTCATGTACTTACTACAGCTATGAGTAGAAACAGAACCTAGATGCTAACAGTAGGAATACTGAAATGGTTCTCCAAAGCCGGGATGGATGGATGGATGGAGGGTGTGGAACAAAGAGAGGAATGTTCTCCTGTTCTTAAGTACATTTTACATCCTGGCTAACATTCTCTCTCCATTACTCTATAAAAATGTTAAGCCAAAAAGAAACTGTTGATAAAATTGCTGACAGTGTGCATCAAGGGGTTTCCCCAAAGTTTAAAACTATCACAGTATGCTAACTTCAAGAAAGGGCAGGATATTAGTAGATTAAACTGGGTCCTATTTCATTTCCTTGTGTGTGGCATCACTGAAGAAAAAAGCCTGGCCAAAATTCCTACATAGGAGGAATTCATTAAGCATTGCATTTCCCTGGATTCATTACCTGGAGGTGCAGCCTTATTTACTACAATGGAAGGTGGACTGGAACAAAGACGTTCAAAACCAGCAGGAAAGGCACAGTTCTGCACTTTATCTTCTCTCAAACATACAGCATTAAACTACCTTTTTCACAATAAAGCAGAATGCATGAGGGACACAGGCAGTATAATCCCATGCTTTAGTTTTTCCATTTATTTATGTATTTTAATTTAGCGAACAAAAACCACCTGTGTTCTTACTCAAAAGTAAAAGAATAGGGAACATATATATATACACACACATAAGCATATTTCTTAGTTTGCTTTGCAAAATCACTACCTTCAGCTCTCATGTATCTTCTCTTACAAGACAGCAGTTCACCCACGAAGAAATTATCCTATTATATTGGTTTTGTTCAGTACAAGCTGAAGGACCTCATACTGGATTGTCTTGATGAATATAACCTGACGGTACTATTTTCTGATACACTAACTGAAGGAGTACACTCAAAATGTGACTCCCAACAGAAAAGGGTGTGCATACCAAAATGTTGTTTCAATACTTGTTCTTCACTGGAGATCACAATACTCAATAGCTACAGCTGTTAAGACTTATGTCTACACTGTTTAAATATAAATTCTGAGAGAGAAATTGCTAATATTACTATTGCTTGAAACACACCAAGATTAAATACAGAATCCACCAAGAAAGACAGAAGATGAAATACTGAATACCTTGATAGTCAAAGAAGCTAGAAAATAGAATTCACCCTGCAACCACCAGAAAATTTACTGTGTGCGCTAATGCTATGAAGACAAACCACAGTTTAGGATCTTTTACAAAACTCTTTTCATATTGACAGTGCTAATTCATTATGGAAGAATTCCTTGATCAAAAACATTCATCAAGCCTAGATCTTTGGCAATTGCTGTTTCATCACTTATCTGGTATTTAAAGTGTTACTTGCAGTTTACACCTCCGACTGTGAATTCTGACTTACTGCAGCATAAGCTTTTCAGATTCTTTATCTATAGTTTCTGATTATTCCCATTGACCAATGCTTTGTTTCCAAACATTACAGGCATTACAGCATTTAACCAACATGACCGAAAAAACCCCATCAATGCCCTCTTAAATGCAGTGCCTGGCAATTGGTAACAGGCACCTCCTGCCTGCCTTAGTGGAAAAACCCAAAAATATACTTTAATATTGTTAAAAAAGTACTTATAACTTTAATGTTTTAATGACTTCAAAGAAAAGCTGTCCACAAACTGACTGCTTCAGGCCTCTCTTTCTTCAGATCTTTAGAATTAAAAGTCAGCTCTACCCATCATACACTCCTGATATCTGTCAAAAATCTCAACAGGAAAGCCTCTTTATAAACTCTACCCCTCACTCTTAAGAAGGTCTCCCAGTTTTGCTTTCCAAAATGCAAGACATTCTTAATTCATGTATGAAAGACCGTAACTGGTAAACTAGATAGTTTGGAAAATCTAGCTGTCTTCCCCTCCAAATTATGCTATTTTCCCTTCTTCAGCTTGCTCAGAAGGAAGATTAATGGTGAATACATTTGCCATTAAAGAAAAAATTAACTATTGAAATTTAGTATATAAAACATTCCAACCATTCGATCCTAGGACGGCTGAAGAGCTCTCCCGTGTGGTTTTTCATAGCATTGCCTAACAGAACAGTGAGACAACCTTGAACACTCCCTAACACACCTTAAATCAAGCATGCAAGGTAAAGATTTTATTCATGCCAACATGCAGAATACACTACCCAAGATAAGTAGCTAAAAGGGGAACTTTTCATACAAAAGATTAAGTAATCACCACCATGAGTGCCTTCATGGAAAACAAAGCTGGAACTGGACTCAGTCATTCTGAGGGGCTCTCTAACATATGTCAGTACCTTATGACTACCACTAGAGAGTGAAACTTAGATCTGCAGGAAATAATACGCATGATGTTAACTCTACCTTGTGAATATATTCCAATTACAAACATGAATTTATGTTTATTGAATCTTATCAAAAAGCACATGTAAAAACTGACCAGGAAAATTAGTTGCTATTCCTGTGTATCTAAACTTACAATTTTGAAAACCTGCTCCTCTAAACACTGCAATTGGTTCACTCAATCCTGGCATACTCAATAGGAATTTGTATCTTTGCAGATGGAGACTGCCAGAAAACCAGTATTTAATATGAATTCATATCTGATTCTTAAGCCATCTCAATTTGCCTTTGACACAATCTGCTTTTAACTTGTTCAAAAATAGGCTCAACTGAACAAACAAAATGTGAATTATGTGGTGATTATCAATCCATGTAGAAAAAGTCCAACCCTGAACTTGTCAAAATGGTTATTACAAAGCCTCAAATCCCAACAGGATGATACCTGTTTAATGAATCATAGAACCTGTTTTCAGAAGCAAGCAGATTTTTCCACGGAGATTCCCGTCTACGAAGGGGAGAAACACTACCTTAACAAGCTATAGTCTTAATTTTGTTCAGTTTCAGCACCTTAAACACCGTGTAGTTTCACTAGTTCGAAGAGTTCTATCTGAGTGTTTCAGGAAATACTAAAAGCATACAGTCTTTTCAGTCTGCTACTAAAAAAGAAGGCCTCATTTTAAACAGGACACTAGCTTATTTTAAAATAAAGAACTTAGAATATTCATTCCGAATAACAACAACTGCATTGTCTACCTGTTTGGAAGCTCTGAAGGGAAAATTTTGCTTACTTGCCAGTTTCTTAGCTGTGCTTTGTTTAGTCCTTGTAAATAACTCATATCCTCTCTGCAAGAGGTCAAATGCAGTTTCTCAAGCCCTACCAGATTTTGGCAAACACAGTATCAAGTGTTTCAAATAGCAGCACCCTCTGACTAATTCAACTCAAAGAAAGTTAGTTTAACAAGCTGCTTGCTGAGATAGACTTGGCAACAGTAGAGAATTAAGAAAAATGCAAGGATATTCAAGAGAGACTTCTGCTAACACCTTTTCTTTCTCAGTCCATGAAATACTGCTCATCCTGGCAGGGCAACCTGTCAACACTGACTAGAAAACCATACCAGTAGCCTTACAGTATATGCTATGGCACCTTCCAGCAGGTTATGACAGCACTGGAAAAGAATACTGGCACCCAACAAACATAGAATTTTTATTTTGAAAGTAGTTTTAGAGTATACACCCAGGGAGGCTCACATCAAGTTGAATTCTATCAACATTTCTCATTGGATGAGTGAAGACAAAAGCTGATGGAGATAATGTCTCAAATCTCAAAAATCCTCTGCACTCCTGTATTCTGCCAGGTCAGAAAACATTTTTAAATAGACCTCAGTAACATCTGATTTCATCAGTTGAAACAAGATCAACAAAACTGCCTGCATAAAATTGTTTACAAGAAACCACTGTAGGGGCAGGGAGAATAAAGACTTAAGAACATCACAGACTCCCCAGAAGGGTCTGGTACGGAGAGTTGCCTATTTCCCTTCACTTTCCTCAATTGCTTATCCCCAGGGTATCTATAGCCAAAGGGCCAGGTCAGCAACTGTCCTAAACACTATGAAATCTAAAATGGTCTTTAGGATTCCTTACAGAAATTACTTCTGTGACAAGTTCCCCCTCAATGCCATAATTTGAAGCAGACTGAGGTATCAATACAAGAGACCTTGGTTAAAGCAGGTTAAACCTGCGAGGGAGATGAGGCAGGGGAAAGTCAAGGCTAAATGTAATGCAGCATTTTCTTATGCTGACTGTGTAGAACAGAGAATGTCACCTGCTTCTTGACAAAAAAACAAAGCAAGCAACCAGAATCAAGGCTGCAGACATCTTAAGCTCCAGCACCTAGTTACTTCTGAAAGACAGACAAGGATACTGATATAGGCTGAGTGTGTTTAGTATTGCATTTTAGACCTGAAGAATTCGATGGCAACCTCAACTACAAGTAAGGACTCTTAAGAGAACAATTATGTTTAGTACTTTAATCACCAAATCTTGCTTAGCTGTTTCCAACAGGCCAGACTTTTAAAGAGAATTCAAGTAATTTCAAACACAGCATTCTCAAGTTTAACATGTTCTTTTGTTTTCTCTCGAGAAATTTGGTAATTTTGTCAGGTTATCATAGTTCAGAAGCCTTGAACCTCTGTACACACAATATACAGAAATTCTAAATGAACCCCAAGCTTTCTGCTTAATGGAAATGGCAATTAAACATATCTAAAAAAAAATATAAAATTGCTAAAGCAGTCCTTTCACCTGCTGAAATGCCCACTGCATACCACAAAGTCCCAGCTGACAAGTTACCAAAGACTGGTGAATGCACCAAAGGATGTATATTTTTACATTTCTTTAAGACAGGCTTCCTTAGAGTGGTATGAGACAGCTGCTGAAAATTGTCACAGAATCAAATCTTACCAATATGGCTTAAATATCTATATAATCATTCTATGACTAGCACAGAAACAGAAAGTGGAACACTTATTCACTAGGTTTAGTACTTAATATGTGAATTGCAGCACTGAATTTGGTTTTCCCTTGCAGGAAATTTCAGACTTCAAATAAACAGAAAAAAAACTAAACATTGCTGTATGCAAATATACACATTAATAATTCAAGTTATACACCAACAATTGTTAAAGAGTCTTTTGGAGGTTTCCTTTCGATTTTACTGTCAACAATTTCACTTACTAGCATTCTCCAAAAGCAGCTCTTCATTCCTAATTAAAGTGCCAAAAGCAGTTGCACAGAAGTAATTTCAAACCCATACATTTTGCTTTCAAGACTATTACAGTGATCTTTGCTATTTTAGTCCAATATCTTTAGCAACACGTGCAAGAACAGCAAACATAAGGAAAAAATAGCTGGTACAAAAGGGGAGTACCTGGAGATAACAGGTGACTTGCTTCCATTCACTGTATTTGTCCTTTCCCAAGGCTTTCTTGTTAATTCTGGAAAACAGTGAATTAAAAATCATATTTTTCTATTCTATCTGTCATTTATGTGAGGAAACTTCAGCTTATACTCTATGGGCAAGCACTCCATTAATATACTCTGCAGCTGAGGCCTTCTGGGTCTAGTTTATAAGCATGAGTCTAATTTGCAGTAAAGTTTTTAAAGCCCAACCTGCCTTCACATGTGGTCATGCTTCACTTTGCATTATGCAGCTTGCTTTCAGCTCTGCTTAGAATCACCTCCAGTAAACTCTGATTCACTATCTCAAGTTTATTACAGTGATCTAAAGTCACATGTGAAAGTTAGCTTTATTGTGCAGGTTTGTGTGCCAACAGCAGACAGAAATCACAGCCCAAAGAAGGCAAACACTCCAGTTAACAACTGTTTGTTTTGTGTCCTTGCATTTTTTCCTTTAGTGGCATCACCTAAGCCCTTCTTCAGAACTTACCTATGGCCATAAATGCTTCATTCCTTATAGATCAGGTTTTCATTCCTTACAATCTGCACAAGTTTAAACAGTCTTTCTGTCGTGTGAATTGCTGTCACTTAGTTGCCATCGTTACTTGCTCAGGGCTTCAGTATGCCACTGATCTTATCAGTCTTTATTTCAGATGTGCACTTTGTTTTGTCCCCTTTCTTTTGTATTGCTCAACTCTGCTAAGCTGGGCAAGCAGAGAGGCAGAAAGAAATACACTTTCAGAGTCACACATTGACCAGAAAGTTCTCTGGGATGCAGCTAGATAGAAGAATATCTGTATTGCATAAATCTGCTAGCACAGCCTGTGACCCAGCCAACCACAGGTTGCCAGTACTAATATGTCTTCAGCTTAATTTTATACACCAGTCTTCAGGAAATGTCCTGACATAGGATTTATTTTAGCAGGATTTTAGCTGTATCTGCAAAATGGAGAAACTTCTGCTATGGCTGCAGCTTGCTCAAGGAGATGCTAAGCATTCCTCTTAAAAACATTTTAAATACACATTCCAATAATGAGGCACAGCATTACCAGAGCATCTCACATCAGGAAATGAAGGAAAATTTCTCCATTGGAAGGAAACGGTCAATTTCTGAATGCATTTGACATATTTAACAAGTTTGAGGAGGCTTCTTATCATCACAACCAATCAAAGGAACTTCACTGGTTTTGATTTCCCTCTTTTGGGCCTGTATTATTACAAGTGTTCCAAAAGCAGTCATTTCCCTAAGGCTAACATCATCTCTATGTTTAACAGAATGAAGCAAACTCCTAAGGGGAGAGGAAAAAAAACTAGGGGGGGGGTGTGCCTGTGTGAAAAACTTCATTTGTATCATGTCATTTATTGCCTTGCAGTCTAACTTCTTTAGACTAGTGGCTGTATCTCAATACTAAGTTTCCCAGTTATTTCCATCTGCACACACTTAGCTCCTTGCACTCCTTTTTATTCCACAGCCAGCAGTCACCTGGGTTTTGTTCACCCTACAGAAGTGGTTTTCAATATTAAGGCCTGCACATCATCAAGTGGCTGAATCATCTAGTCAAGAAGTGTATACATGGTCAAGCACTTAACAAAGAAAGCTACAACACACTGAAGACTGGTATATTCATTACCCAGTCATTTTCCTTCCGCCTCCACTATCTTTTAGGATGACAAACTGCAGTTTACATGGCACATGCTCCTCCTTTCATATTCATGTACTGAGAGGTGGCCAGGGAAACTAAGGGCACAAGAAGGTACTACTAAGGGACAGGAAAAGAAAATCTTGGGTGTCACTTGAGTCTTTGTAACACAAGCATTTACAGCATGAATACATATACATGTTGACAATACATCTTGGCCAACTGCAGAATCTGTGAGAAGTTTTCCTTACTGACTGCAGAAGAAGTGTTGGCTACACAGTTCCAAACTGCCTCCTCAGCAGAGGAATCACAGCTAAAGAATTTCAACTCCGTGCACTTATATTCTTTATTCACTTCTATATTCACTTATGTTCTTTTTATCCATCATCTTCTGAACTAGGATCCATTATACAACAAAATGCCGGGCTGTAATCATGGAAGAGGCAGGCTCCAAAATTCAGCAGAGCTGACTGAGATATATCATTAGATTTTAGCATTATAGAGTCATGGAGCTCACAAACCTGTGCTACTTACCAGGTGTGCTTGTTGAAGAAACCTTAGAGGTTGAAGAGTCTGATTCTTCCTGATTAAGAGGGAGGAGAGAGGGAGATGGAAGTAAGGAAAACCAGCTTTATAATGTGAGATTCACAAGAGTCAATCTCAACTGTTTAAATATTTATTTCAATTTTTATACAGATTTACAATCATTCTTCTCAATTGTATGTAGAAAATGTGCAAGCACTAGGCACTTCACAAAACAGTGGTCATGCCTGCATAAATATATAGTAAAGTATAAATGCTCTCTTCTACACCATTCAAATCCTTCTCATAGTCTACTGTTGAGTAATGCAAAGTACATGAAATTTCTCAACTCACATTTTTATCATCTTTCTGCTCTGGTTCTGTTGATCCCTTTTCAGCAATTCTTCTCCTATTAGCAGAGACAAAAGTTACCAAGATCATCATGGCTTTAAGATGGAAGAATATTGTTTACTGCAATTAAAGACCTATACAGCCTGACAGATAGACAATTAACATTAGTGTTTAAAGAAGTACTTCCAAAACAGCTTCAAGGACAAAGGCCTCCTGCCAAAGCACCTGTGCAATTTGATGTCTGTATCTCCTCCCCTACTGCTGCACAAAGACTTACACAGAAGTACTAGATTACACTCAAATAAAAATGGCTATTCATGAAACTTTATCTGCTTCACAAAGCAAACCTATGAGCAAGCCGATGTTTATTTGATCCTTAGCCAGCCACAAACAGGCACCCAAAATCCTACCTCTATGATGACTAAGCAGCCAGAGTACAGCAGAATCAGCTCCTTACCTCCTGGCCAGCAGGGCACTCATTTCTTCCATCAACCCACTGCCTCCCAAGGGAAGTGGTCCATTTCCACGGCCACTGTCTGTTTTAGATGAAGCAGAGCCTCCTCCTCCTCCTCCACTTGAACTGGAGGAGTCTTCACCCTTCACAGTACACAAAATAACAGCAAATGTGCAAACAAAATGAGAGCTGACTTAATGAAATCAGCAAAGTTCACATACAGGAAAGACACAACTGTATAAAGAATGTGACAGGCTGGTAGCACATCCTATAATGCTTTTTTAATAATGAATTAAGCCTACCCCAAAAGTCTTGATACTGCTATTAATCTTGAACAAAAGTTACAACCAGTTCAAGAAGACAGGATTTAGAGACAGGAATCAGAAAAAGAAACAAGAGTTATATTTACCCGTGAGACTTTCCGAAGTTTGGCTCCAGCAAGTGCAGCTGCTAGTCCAGTTAAAGGGCGATTATCTTCGGACACAAATTCTGCTGGAAATCGGGAGTGGGGGAGCAGGTGGTGGAAGGGGAACAGAAAGAACTTGGCTAGGAAGTGGAGGAGGCGGTGGTGGTGGCGGCGGAGGCCCTGAAGGTGGAAGTGGAGGAGGTGGTGGTGGGCCAGGAGGAGGTGGGGCTGCTACTGAAGACTGAGCTGGGCCAGGGGGTAGGGGAGGTGGAGGTGGAGGTGCAGATGGTCCTTGAATAACACCTAGTAATAAAGAGAAAACAAACAGAATACATTAAGGAATTACAAAAGAACAATCTTCTTTCCATTAAAATGGTGGTTCTCTTGTCCAGTGTATGAGACATTAATACTGGTAAGA